ATTATTTTTACATTTATTTATTTTTACACCTGAAAAAGGCAAAAATAGCAACATTTTTGACCTCTTGTTGAAATTTTTTGCTTGTTTTTAGCGAAATTTTGCGAAATAATTGCGTTTCTGTCTTAAAAAAATAGTGATTTTTGACTCAGTATATGGCAAAATCTCGGGAAAAAACGGTATTTTCATGTAAAAATCTGCTTAACTCTCGAAAAAGGCAAAAGTGACATTACGTTCAGCCTAATTTTGTGTTTTTTAGGCTTGTTTTGAACAAAATTTGCGAAATAATTGCGTTTTTAGCTTGAGAAATGCAAAAATTATATAATTTTCGACTTAATTTGCTGATTTTTTGGTTTGTTTTCGACTAATTTTGTGGTTTTTCTGCTTATTTTTGTCTTAATTTATATCAAAGACCACTTAAATTCAGTAAAACTAGAAAAATAACATCAATATCAATTCTTTTTGTGATTCTTAGGCGTGTTTAGACAAGATTTTACAAAATAAATGAGCCTCTGGTTGAAAAACGAAGTAACTCGAGTGAAACAAACAAAAAAAACGAACCAATGTCGATTTAATTTTGTAATTTCTCTAGCTTGTTTAAACGAAAATTTTCAAAATTTTTTTGTTTGAATGTTTGAATAAGGCAAAAATAACGACATTTTTGGCCTATTTTGTTGTTTGTTTTTCAACGATTTGCGATTTATTATTATTTATTTGCATTTATTATTATTGTTACTGGGCCTTTAATATTTTTACTATATATTTATTATTATTGGAGGGTGGTATATGTATTTGCAAGGGTCCCTGCGCAAGAATGATTTTAGCAAGAGCTGGAAACTGCGCACAAATGATAATCAGTCTAATCAGCGTACGCCATTCTTTGCACTACTGTGCTCGTGATACCACAATTTTGTTTTTGAACGCTTTGCGATATTCCAATTTTGCTCGGAAGTATTGTTTGTAAATGTGCAAATATTAATTAAATTAATAATCAAATCTGGCCAAAATGAGTTTTATTTTTCTAATTTTTAGAGCGTTTGAGCACCTTTTTGAAATAAATTTTGCTAAAACTAACTAAAAATGTACCAAACTAGATTCTAATTGATATTATTTTGGCTTGTTTCAATCTATTTACTTCGTTTACGAACCAGAAATTCATTTATTTTCGAAATCATGGCAAAGCATGCCTAAAAATTACAAAAATAAATCACAATTAATATTATTTTATTTGTTTCATTCGTTTTTAAGTAAAATTTTGTCAAAAAATGAAACAAGAAACAGAAAATTTAGTCGTTAAACACGTTTTTGAACTAAAATCTCAATTTTTTGCAAATGTTTGTTAAAACAAACCAAAAAAAAACCACCAAGTCAAGTCATTATTTTTACCTTTATCAAGTGTTTTGGCATGTTTTTCAAGTAAAAGCAAAATTTCATAAAAAATGAGCCGAAAATTTAACAAATCTGGTCAAAATTATTGTTATTTTTGCATTTTTAGAGTGCTTAAGCACGTTTTTGAAATAATAAAACAATTTTCAAAAAAATTCCTAAAAATGGCTGAAAATTTACCAAATTAGATTCTAACTGATATTAATTTAGCTTGTTACGCTATATTTACTTCGTTTTCTATACAAAAATTCATTTATCTTGCAAAATCTAAAAATTTACCAAATCTTTATTTGGCATTTCTTATTTTTCCTGTGCATTTATTATTTTACGGTGCATTTCTTATTTTTACTGTGCATTTATTACTTTTATTTTGTACTCAATGTGGGTGCTTTTATCAACTAATTTCAGTAGATAAAGTAGTCTTTTATCGTCTAGTGAAATAAAGTAATTTTTATCTACTGTTTATATTTCACTTTGACCAAGAAAATCTGGTAGTTGAGTTCAAAATAAAACGATACCACAATTTTGTTTTTAAGCGCTTTGCGATATTCCCATTTTGCTTGGAAACATTTTGTTTGTAAAATATTTGAATTTATTGTTTATTATTCATTTATTATTTTTACTGTGCATTTATTATTTTACTGTGCATTTATTATTTTTACTATGCATTTATAATTTTTACTGTGCATTTATTAATTTTTACTGATCAAAAATACTCTTGAGTGCAAAAAAAACGCAAATTGTTAAAAAGAAAATTGTCAAAATTTTCAGAGATTTACATAGTGTGAAAAATGTTGTTCCCAAAAAATTTTGATCAGTATAAAATGATAAAATTTTTGCACAGTAAAAAATTAAAAATGATCAGTATAATATAACATTTTGCCCAAAAATAATAAATGCTAAGTAAAGCACGCACAGTATTTTAGTGTAATTTGTTCAGTAAAAAAATCCAATTTACACAGTAAAAATAATAAACGCTCAGTAACTTTAATCAAAATTAGTAAAACAACATAAAATTTAAAGAATTTTCAGTCTTGGTTACATAACAATGTATGGCCCCTGCGCAAGAATGGTATTTATTATTGGTACTTATTTTTATATTACTCAATATTTATTATTATTGGAGGGTGGTATACGTATTATCAAGGGCCCCTGCGCAAGAATGATTTTAGTAAGAGCTGGAAACTGCGCACAAATGGTAATCAGTCTAATCAGCGTACGCCACTCTTTGCACTGCTGTGCTCCTGATACCACAATTTTGTTTTTAAACGCTATGCGATATTCCCATTTTGCTCGGAAACATTTTGTTCGTAAAATGTGTGAATTTATTATTTTTACCATGCATTTATTATTTTTACTGTGCATTTATTATTTTTACTATGTATTTATTATGTTACACTGCATTTATTATTTTACTGTGCATTTATTTTTTTTACTGTGCATTTATTATTTTTACTATGCATTTATTATTTTTAGTATGCACTTATTATTTTTACTCTGCATTTGTTATTTTTAGTGTGCATTTATTAATTTTTACTGATCAAAAATACTCTTGAATGCAAAAAAACGCAAATTGTCAAACTGTTCAGAGATTTACATAGTGTGAAAAAGGTTGTTCCCAAAAAGGTTAGAAAACTATCAAAACAAATGTATTATTTGGTGGTCTTGCCAGTATAATGTCATAGTCAGTGTTAAAAACGAAATGAAAAAACATGGAAGAACTTGATAGAAGTTTGGAAGATGCCTGACAATTATAAAATTGTGAATTGTGAGAAAGACAACGTCAAAAAATGGTTTTATTAACATTTATTACATTATTAAAAAAACAATTTGCGTTTATTTTGCACTCAAGTGCACTTATCGCTTGAATAATATACTGTGCATTTTATAATTGTATTTTCTCCAAATCACACTTTTGTAAAAACATTCACTCAGAAACGAACTAATTTTTTTAATAACAAAAAAATAGGTATATAAAAATTCATTTTCAAAAATCAAAGTTTGACATACACAGCTAAAATTTTCCATAGTTTTTCTTGGAAAGGTTATAAACAGTGCAAAATATAATAAAACACAATCAAATAACCGTTCTACAAGTCATTTATGGCATTTATGTGCAACACTATTCCTTTTATAAACTAGAACTAGTGTCAAAAGTCAATATTACGAAACTTGTTTTCTCATATCAATTTAACAAATGCCCATCTTGAGAATTATAATCGATTTTAACAATAATGTATTCACTAAAAGGGACTAAAAATCAATGAGGAAATTTTAAAATATTGATGGTTTCACCTTAAAATATCAAATTTCTCGATGAATTCTTGGTACAAACACATTATTGTTTCCACAAACAATGGCTTTTATTTGATCTATACTGTCGACCATCGGGTTTGTGAATTACGCCTAATTAGCCCTTAATCTATATCCCTTGTAAACCACATTCTCCGTTTCTGATTTAGAGCAAATTAAGCAAATTTTTCAATGATAATTTGTTATTACGTAGGATCAAAAAGCAAAATGTAACTAACAATTAGTTTAATTTTTTCGTAACAGTTGACCTTGGTAACAAACAGGAACCAAAAAAAAACAAATAAATTACTAGCTGTAACAATAATAATAATAATAATATGTTTTTTGCCTTTAATGAGAAAATATTTTTCATAAAGCGCAATGAAGAATTTTTTAATTACTTTAATTATAGAAAGAAATTAAACAATGCGGTTTTGAAATAATTATTACCATTTATCAAATATTTTTATTTGGAGTAAAACTGAATGTTTTCGAATTAAATCACTAATCGGCAACAAAATGTAATAAACTGTAACGATTGTGGAAATTGCAACAAAAAAGGAATTTTATCGGTGGAAAAATTTCGAAAACTGGAAACATTTTGTTACAATGGATAATTATCATGAGAATTTGAGTCGTAGCAACTGTTCAAAACTATTCAAACGTAATGAACTTTTCCCTAATTGAGAAGATTATTCTTTCGTTTCTCTTGCAATCAAGTTGCACTTTAAAATTAATTTACGAATACCTGACATTGAATTTAAACGATCATTTGTCTGTAAAAAGCGCAACGAATCTGAGCTTTAAGCCCTTCCATTTATTGTTTGAAGCGTATGATGAGCACATACCAAACAAATTACATTTTTGTTGAAATATTTAAATTATTTGTGTAATTTAGATATCCGTTTCCACTCTATTTTAAGAACAATACAGTTGGGAAAAATAAGGTTTCTCGGTCACCTTTAGTAATAACGGGCCCAACAAATGAATAAAGAACTCATCTCATGGCAAAAATTAAAATATTGCAGTGATTTATTTAGAAATTGCGAAACGAATTCACCACGTAAGCATTAAGAATGAGGACATAAACAATATCGTGATCCACATTTCCTCCAAAAGGACGATAAATTTTCATTACATGGACGAATAACTGTTAAATGCATTAACAGTTGTTTAAAACGTGGCAACTTTTCGAATTTGAAACTTGTAAATTGCACTTTTTTGCCTCAATAATTGCGTGAAAATATATTCACGTTGGGTTATTAACCTGAAGAGAGTCGTGTGGGGGTCTAGGTTGGATAGCGGAGTTGAATAAAAATTCCTACCTGGACCAGGTGCCAGTCTGGAATCCGCAATGACCAGGAAAATAGTCCAACAACAAAATACCAAAATTGACAAGTAGTTTAAATAACTCGGGTTTCCCCCGAACCACCTCATGGTACCCAACAAAACACACACTCAACAATTAATATTCAAACAAAACAAAACATAACAAGGGTTGGGGATGGTCTTATCCGAACTGGAACATTGTAACACAGCTTCCGGGTTTAGTACACCATGCACATTTTTTTTGGGAAAATCGTCGATTTTTCGTATTTTTTAACTACTTTCGCTCCCACACCGAACCTAACCGTCAACGGCCGCTCGCGGACTGAGAACATCGTGTTGCTTGCAATTCCGTAGCGCCTGCCCTGTACCAGGTAACACCGAATACTCTTCTCTCGAATTGTATAATTCCAAGGTTGAACTTGTTATGCTACAAGAGATGCTGAGGCTTCAGCGACAACAACCACAGACGATTCTTCAAATTTCACCTTTATACCTTTGATACACTTCGTTAGGTTTTCAACAATCAGTGCCTATTGATGACAATTAGAACTCTTGCGATCAATGTGGCCTGGATTCGCAAACTAAGTTGGCAACAGTGAGGAACAGGTGTCAACTTTTTTCAGAATCAATGATATTTTTTCGGCGTGAATGCACGAGCGACGAAGGGGTGAGTGTCTTACATGCGACAAAATTATTCGCACATACAGAGTGAACAACATGTGTAGGATTAAACTTAAAAAAATGGAAACAAATCAAACGCACTGTAAAAATAATAAATGCACAGTAAAGTAATAAACGCACAATAAATAACAAATGCACAGTAAAATAATAAATGCACAGTAAAAATAATAAATGGACAATAAGAATAATAAATGCACAGTAAAAGTAATAAATGCACAGTAAAATAATAAGTGCACAGTAAAATAATAAATGCACAATAAAAACAATAAATGCACAGTAAAATAATAAATGCACAGTAAAAATACTAAATGCACAGTAAAGATAATAAATGCGCAATAAAATAATAAATGCACAGAAAAATAATAAATGCACAGTAAAGGCAATGAATAAATGTCTAGTAAAACTAATTAATTTAATATTCATATTTTTACAAACAAAATGTTTCCGAGCAAAATCGGAATATCGCAAAGCGTTCAAAAATTGAGTACCATTTATGCGCAGTTTCCAGGCCTTTCTAAAACCATTCTTGCGCATTCTAAATTTTTCCACCGATAAAATTCCTTTTTTGTTGCAATTTCCACAATGGTTACATTTTATTACATTTTTGATGCCGAATCGTGATTTAATTCAACAACATTTATTTTAACTCCCAACTCGAACAAACAGTAATAAAAATATTTGATAATTGGTAATAATTACTTAAAAACCGCATTGTTTAATTTCTTTCTATAATTACAGTTGTTATGGGAAGTGATACTAAAAAAATTAACTCATTAGGTACTTTCCTTCTTCAGGGGGCTTTATGAAAAATATTTTCTCATTAAAGGCAAAAAAACTTTGATCATATTATTATTGTCAGCCAGTAATTTATTTGTTTTTTTTTTTGGTTCCTGTTTGTCACCAAGATCAAACGTTACGAAAAAATTGAACTAATTATTAGTTGAACAAAAACCAAGAAGATCCAAGAAGAAGAATAATTATTAGTTACATTTTGCTTTTTGATCTTACGTAATAACAAATTATCATTGAAAAATTTGCTTAATTTGCTCTAAATCAGAAACGGAGAATGTAGTTTACAAGGGATATAGATTAAGGGCTAATTAGGAGTAATTCACAAACCCGATGGTCTACAGTATAGATCAAATAAAAGCCATTGTTTGTGGAAGAATTCATCGAGAAATTTGATATTTTAAGGTGAAAGCATCAATATTTTAAAATTTCCTAATTGATTTTTAGTTCCTTTTAGTGAATACATTATTGTTAAAATCGATTATAATTCTCAAGATGGGCATTTGTTAAATTGATATGAGAAAACAAGTTTCGTAATACTGACTTTTGACACTAGTTCTAGTTTATAAAAGGAATAGTGTTGCACATAGATGCCACAAATGACTTCTAGAACGGTTATTTGATTGTGTTTTATTATATTTTGCACTGTTTAATATTTCCAAGAAAAACTATGAAAAATTTTAGCTGTGTATGTCAAACGTTGATTTTTGAAATGAATATTCATATACCTATTTTTTTTTATTAAAAAATTGAGTTCATTTCTGAGTGAATGTTTTTACAAAAGTGTGATTTGGAGAAAATACAATTATAAAATGCACAGTATATTATTCAAGCGATAAGTACACTTGAGTGCAAAATAAACGCAAATTGTTTTTTTAATAATGTAATAAATGTTAATAAATCCATTTTTTTGACGTTGTCTTTCTCACAATTCACAATTTTATAATTGTCAGGCATCTTCCAAACTTCTATCAAGTTCTTCCATGTTTTTCCATTTTGTGGAAAATTTTGCATTCAAGAGTATTTTTGATCAGTAAAAATTAATAAATGCATACTAAAAATAATAAATGCCTAGTAAAAATAATAAATGCACAGTAAAAAAAATAAATGCACAGTAAAATAATAAATGCACTGTAACATAATAAATACATAGTAAAAATAATAAATGCACAGTAAAAATAATAATTGCACAGTAAAAATAATAAATGCATGGTAAAAATAATAAATACACACATTTTACGAACAAAATGTTTCCGAGCAAAATGGGAATATCGCATAGCGTTTAAAAACAAAATTGTGGTATCAGGAGCACAGCAGTGCAAAGAGTGGCGTACGCTGATTAGACTGATTACCATTTGTGCGCAGTTTCCACCTCTTACTAAAATCATTCTTGCGCAGGGGCCCTTGATAATACGTATACCACCCTCCAATAATAATAAATATTGAGTAATATAAAAATAAGTACCAATAATAAATACCATTCTTGCGCAGGGGCCATACATTGTTATGTAACCAAGACTAAAAATTCTTAAAATTTTATGTTGTTTTACTAATTTTGATTAAAGTTACTGAGCGTTTATTATTTTTACTGTGCAAATTGGATTTTTTACTGAACAAATTACACTAAAATACTGTGCGTGCTTTACTTAGCATTTATTATTTTTGTGCAAAATATTATATTATACTGATCATTTTTAATTTTTTACTGTGCAAAAATTTTATCATTTTATACTGATCAAAATTGAATTATTTACTGATCGCTTTATTACTACCCCAAAAAATATGATTTCAGGGCTCCCAAACTGTCTCTAGTCACGTATTATACATTTATCATTTATACCTAACTCACTGACATTGCGATTTTCGTGGTTAGTAGAGCTACAAAGTCGGTTAAATGAATAAAGTTCGCGGTTCTATGCTGATTATTCCGAGCAAATAAAAAACAACTATCTATTGATCCATACTGTAGCATCCAAAAATAAAGCTAAACAAAAAATAGAGTGTTTTTTTACAACTCATCTACATGATTGAAGTGTGAACTAAAACATTATACAGAATTATCACTTATCAGAAATAGGTCACTGAATTTTAACTGAAAGAACATTTTTTTTTGCAACTTTAAAAAACCTTCGAATAGATTATGTCCTCTATATTTTTGATGTTCAAAGGCTCGAATGTAGCTCTTTATGTAGCAATAAATACAGGCTGTTTCCAAATTCGCACTCCAGAAAACCATGCCAAGTAAGTTAAGATAGCAGTTAAAAAAATTCTAACTAAAAAATTCTAAATAAAAATTTCGAAGTGAGAGTTTAAATTTTGTACTTTGACTCTATTTGTTTTTGTTGGAAAAATAATTTTACAATTTTTTTGCTATAGACTATTAAAAGACGAAACAAAAAAGTTGTAGTTGTTCCTTAACTGAGTACTAAACATATCGGTCATATGTCAAAAAATAATTGTTAAAATTTTTTGGTAGATAAGATTTTTTTAACATTATTTTTCTCTGGAGCGTGAGTTCTGGAACAGCCTGTATGTCTAATAAAAAAGAAATAATTGCAATTTTTAAAAAATCGAATATTTATATGTATTACCTGTACAAAGTTTTAAGGAGTACCAAGTAGGTACATGAAAAACTAAAAAAATATCAAAACTGTAAAACTTGATTCAAAAAAATTACCAAATTAAATATTTATATTATTTTATTAATTATTCAACTTTAAGCAAATATTATTTTTAAAGACATAATTTTTGTCTAGCTTCAACATTTCGGTAAAATCAAAACATTTCAAAAGTAGCGAAACAAATTTTTCACAAAATTTTTACAAATAATCCGTAACAAAAACAGTGTATTTGAATTATCTGGTGGAAAACTCTCCAATGCGGTAAATTATAACAGCGATTCGTATTATTAATGCAAATTATTGTATGCAAATGAAAATTTCTGGCAACTATTCTGCAATAATTTTTATTCAGACTCTTGAATGTGCAAGAAATGAATAGAGATTGTTGGGTAACTTATGCGACATTTGGGTTATAAACACGGTTACGAGAGCTTTCCTAGTCTGCATATAATATTTGTATGTAAATCTAAACATTATGTTTTAAAACTACTTAAAAAATCTGGTGTGAACATCACACGACTTTCCTTATCCTTATTATTTGGAAAACATCCTAATAACGACAATAATTTAGGAGGTGCAGTTTTTTTTTAGTTCGTTATCCATTATTATTATTTTATCACATTTTACTGTTTAATAAGATATATTTCATGATTCTAAATAATTTGTATCCCCAAGAATTTTTTGTAATGCGGCCGACTTTTACCAATTGTTTCGTACTACGTCCCCTTGCTACATGCTACATAATTTCAAAAATTATATTTTTGCTAAATTGCATAAAAAAATTGGATTTGGCTCAAGAAAATAGGAGACTTCAATGAGCGATGAAGCTGGAAACATCTCAAAAAATGACTAAAATAAGCCAGTAAAAAATACATTAGCAAACATGTTTGCGAAAGAATAATAAAAATCCCATGGGTGGTGTGATGTAGAAGCTAATGAAGCTATTAAACTACTACCAGCTGCTATCAACCAATCAAAGCTATTATAAGGTTAGTAACGGAAACTTTACTTAAATAGAATTCCAACGTATCTCATAATTAGATTAAATTTTTAAATAAATATGAAAAAACAATTCTTTACATATTTCGAGTTTCTAGTCACTTATGGTCGTTTCCTGCTTCACGCCTGGTTTAATGAAATAACCATTCTAGAATAATTCCAGTCTGTGAAACTTATCTTATTTTTTTTGTAACAGCGGTTTTAGAGGCACTTTTGTGCAAAATTTGTTATTACATTTTTTGTAATGAGGG